TGCATTCTCCTTTTGCTCCGCCCCTCCTCTTCTACACCACTATAAAAATCGCTATTTCTTATCGCACGGCCTAAATCGCAGGTCAGTAATGCACCGCGAACGGCCAAGATTGCAGGCCGATCATAAAGTTTTTTGATCGGTCTGCGATCTGGGCCGTCCGCGGTGCGTTACCGGCTAGGGCCCAGATCGCAGGCCTGCCCACCCCTCGAATCGTGTCCCATCCCTTCGCCCGCCCGTCTGCCCGTTGTCGGACCAAATACCCTTACAAGGGTATTTGGCCATGCTTTTGCATTCGACACAGTGACGGCGTCGGCTACCATGACGAAGCCAGTCTGGGATGAAAAGGGCGTGCACGATAGCTACGTATACTCTTGGTCACTAAACATTTGAAACTTTACGAAAGCCCGGACGGGTTATAATCCATTCTGAATTGCTAGCACAATTCATAGGGATCTGTTCTACAATTACGTATCCTTGAATTTTGGCTATAATTTCTAAAAGTCCCAAGTAAAGTTCTATCACGATTTTCTAATCTTGAAACCCGAAAACTTCAGAATTCTACTATTATAGCCAAAACTTTTGAAGACCCTCTCCAATAAGTAGTTTTTGCTTCTTTTGAATTGGTGATACGTGCACTTGGTGGGAGCTGTCAAACGTTGATTGGCGTAAGCGGCAGGGGAATAATTGTAACATTCAGCGAGTTGTTCTTAAAGATGTTGGGTGTTTTCGGGGGTTATTGCATATTTTTGAAGAGGCCCTGCTTTTCCAAATTGCGGTGTGCATAAAGTGATTCCACATTTTGGTAAGTGTGTCATCAATACCCGTAGTCGGCTGGATCAGATCATTCCTGAAGGGCTGACCGGTAAGAAGGGGGAGGAGGGAACTCTATCTCGCACGGGCATCACAAGGTGGGTGTCTCAAAGAGTGTAGGGGCAGACTAGGGGGTTGCCCTATTCTGGAGCAGGGCTTGTGTGTGCGTTAACGTCACTCCCAGCAGAGGCAGAAATGGGCAAGGGGCATGGGGGCATGCTTTAGGTGGGAACTGTATGCCCCTGGGGAAAAGGGGGCAGAGGGTTGGTCCTATATTGGGGCTGAGAGAGAGCTGGTGGCTCGCCTGGGCGGAGGCAGTGTAGGGCTGGGGGGAAGGAGTAGGGGGGAGGGAGGGGTGAACTCCCTCCAAGAATCCTAACAATAGGTGCTATCTTGCAAGTCATTTATGATCCTCAAAGGGTGATAACAAATTTGGTGACCCTCGAAGACCGATGCTGGAGCAACGTTGGTCGGAGCTGGAGCCAGGTGGTGCAACTTTGTAACCTAGCTTAGTGTGGGCATGAGGCCTGGTAGAGAGATCTGGGGGTCTGTATGTGGGGGCAGTCTCAGTGGTCATCAGGGGTCGTAACTGGAGCAAGGCTGCCCAGTGCTGGAGCAAGGTGGTGCAACTCTGTAGCCTAGCCTGACAGGAGCCCGAGGCCTGGAAGAGCGTCGGTCCATGCTGAAAACAGCCATGCTGGTGGTAGTCGTAGGTGGATCGAATAGGTTTCACCTATCTGATTTGTGGTTGGGAGGCTTTTTGACACACATATTCTAGTGACTTGGTAGAGCTTTGAGTAGTGGACCATGAATGTTTCTGAGTTCTTTCCTTTTCTTCAATTGTTCTTAGCCGAAGCCGGGTAATGGCCCCGGTAACTCATTTTTTGTATTCTGAATAGAACGGAGCATCGTCTTAAAAAACATTAAAAAAAAAACACAAAAAATGGAAGAGAGAGAGAGAGAGAGAGAGAGTTGTTTTCACGTTGACTATGTTTTTCTTTGTTCTTATTCCCTGTTGTTTTTTATTTTTCATATTACCCTGCTACCGGGCTTTTGACACTGGAGGCCCGTGTTAAGCGCCGCGGTATTGCTTTCCAAGTGTGGAAACATACTGGTGGCTTACGCCGTGTTTGCTGTAGTGGTCGGAGTCCGAACACCCACAGGGTCCCTCCAAGATTACATCTGACATACCAACTTCTGTACCTGAACGAACTTCCAAAGCCCTGAGTTTTGTTTTTCCTGCTTTTCCTATCTTTTAAGGGCTTTATGGGCACCCTTCTTTTGGTTAGTGGTATGCATGGAATCAATGGCCGAGGAGTCCCTCCCACTTTTAAACCACTAGTACTTGGCCCAGCTATCGGCCGCGGAAAAAAAAAGAGTACAAACGTTTCTAGTTGGATGAATTTGGGCCCTCCTGTAGTGCCCCGTACGGTTCCTAAAATCGCATAGCATTAAGGGGCGCGAGTTTAGGAAGTACAGGTGTTTTAAGACTTGTTGCTTTTCTTCCTGAGGGCTTTTTGAAATTTCTCTCCGGCGGTCCATGAATTTACATAGGACTTACGCACACCTTAGTGAGCGTGCTAGGAGTTTTGTTCAACAGTTAAGGATTCCGGGATTTGTGGCCGCACTTCCCACTGACACGTCCTTTCTTTTTTTTCTTCTTTTTTCTGTTTTTTTCTTGCAAGTGATGCAATGGATTTTTCCTGCACTCAATCTCGGGCACAGATATCATTTCCGAATTTGTCATCTTGAATTAGTTTTTAGAACTGGAATGGACGGAACATATCTGTTTTGGTGCCTTGTTGTCTCTGTGTCCGTACCATGTATGAGAACCTCCCCCGCTTCCCACTGTCCGCATGCCATCTTCACCTCTCTTCTTCGCGCCTGCTTTCCACCATCTGTAACTGTATTCTATCCCCTCTCCCTTCCCACTTTTCTCCCGGTCTTCTTTGTCTGAATCTTGGTCCCGCTCCACACTTCTTTTCTCCCCTTCATACCCATACAAGAACACGCTAGCAATTCCCCCCCCCCCGCCCTAGACATCATTTAAGCATTATACTCACCTCACACCATGATCTGATTGGCGTTGAAACTCCCGGGAATCAGCATGGCTTTCCCCGAACGATTTACGCAAACTCTCTTCACCCCCTCCTACCTCCACCCCATTCCCTCCCATTTCCTATGTTCTGTTTTGCAACTACGAATTCTGTAAGCCCATCCGAAAAGCTCTCTCAGCCCAGCCATCAAGCAACATCATTTAAGGATTATACTCACCACACACTATGATCTGATTGGCTGTAAAGCTCGCAGGATTCAACATGGCTTTCCGCTTTCGATTTACCCACACTCCCTTCACCCCCTCCTACCTCCACCCCGATCCCTCCCATTCTCTATCTTCCTCTTTGCAACTACAAAATCTGCAAGCACATTCAAAAAGCTCTCTCTTCCAGCTTCCAGGAAGTCATAGCTAGATGTGTATGCGCAGCAAGTCGAAAAGTCCTTACGAGCTGACCATAGTTTTGCAGGACAGTCTGCCCTGTGGGCCCAACAGACGGCCGGATCTGGGCAAGTCACTGTGAGGACGGTTCGTGTACGAGTGGTGCATGGCGTGGGGCCATAGTTAAAGAGCAGCAGGTTTGCACACCTATTTGTGCACCTGCTGCCCTCATATTGGAAGCCAAGTCCACACCAGATTGTCGCTTTTATTTCTCATATTATTTGTGTGCTCACAACTCCTTTGTCTTTAGCTCCCTTCTTCGGTCAAGCTACAACTCCGTCCAAGTCTTTCGACCTCATCTCCCCCTCCCTCTCTGTTTCTATTGAGTCCACACCAGATTGTCGCTTTTATTTCTCATATTATTTGTGTGCTCACAACTCCTTTGTCTTTAGTTCCCTTCTTCCCTCAAGCTACAACTCCGTCCAAGTCTTTCGACCTCAGCTCCCCCTGTCTCTTTCTATTGACATTTTCTTCATGTCAAAATGTTCTGACAACTCCCCCATCCCTACCAGCTCCTGAGGTCCTGTCCTGCTCGTCTCATTGAATTCAATTGGATCTCACAAGGATAAGTATAATTGAATTTCAAGAGAACAGGAAGATCAGGTGGTCTTATCCCATCCCTCCCTTTGCTCCTCAGCATCCAATGGTTGAGGTATGAGTGATCTCTTACACATGTATCAATTGACTTGTTACCCTGATAACAAGAACAACTTCGGGATATATGCAACAATTTCAACACATGCTTAACTACTCACAATGAAGTATGGTCACTCTCTCGACTGATTGGATTGCCTCGCATGAACGTTTGAAAGCAGCAAACGCTATGTTTTTCCCGCACAGCTATGGCCATTTCTCACTAAACTGAAACCATGCAGGGCATTTCAGTTCCCTCTATATCCCCACACTATTTTCCCAAAACTCCTCGCCACACCCCATTTTGCTGTTCTTTCAAGGCCTGTTGCGCATATTTTTATCACTCCGACCGGAAGACAGCAGGGCGTGAGGTTAGAACATCACATACAACCACGACGATGAGGGAAGTACATCTACTGACAGTAGGCCAGAACTTCTAGGTTGCAACTGCAGAAAGCACATACATAACAAACAAGATATCAAACAAGATATCAACTTGGAGGGACAGGCATGGGCTTGCCTATGGAACTTAAAATCTACACCTAGCGCTCAAAGTACTCAATGCGACAGGGCTCATCCGATATGCTTCAAGCAGAGCCAAGGGTGGTAGGTCCTGCTTAGCCCTGATGCCCAGAGCCACTGTCCGGGCAGATTACCCCCATTGTGATGACAGAAGGATGATGATCCTGAGTTGCGAACACCGAGGTAAGATCTTGGTAGTAGGGGTGCCCGATGGACCATCAGGATAATCAAATGGTCATGGAATCGCTTGGGGTGCTAAAAACCGTCGAGATGAATGTTGTGACCTGTCCAAAGCTTTTCCTCAAAACAGCATCAATCACTCTAACCAGCATGTGATGGTGGAATGGTGAACGGAAAGAAAAAACGGGAGCCAATCTGAGAGATCATTCACATCTCTCTGACATCATGTGGAGGCATCGAGAAGCAATCCCAGCCCTCTGTTCCCCATTGTTTTTCATGGTGGTTTCCTTTTTTTTTTTCTTTGATCCATTTCCATTTCAATTTGGCAAAGCATGTTGTGTACATGGATATCCCAGCCGTCGCTTATGCACATACGGAGAAAAGGACAAGAAACAGGCATATAATATAAGATGTGGAAACCGACCATTCCCCTTAAGTGTACCTCTGACTAAAACCGAAGCAGACTCATCCTCGATCTCCACATACACACACACACACACACACACACACACACACAAACCTTGAAAAATGTCATGCAGTTTTTTTAAAAACGGAGAGCCAAGAAGGACGCCATCCCACAGCAGTGTTCGTCCTTCATCACATCCAACTCCAACACACCACCGTTGACCATATACAAAGCATCAGTGGGGCCTGGCATCTACTGGCAAGTACCGATGCGTGACCTACCTTTCTCTGACTTGACAACTCTCACGACTGGACAGCTGAGCGGCTCTTTCTAATGACTGAGATATCATGGGGGATAAGATGTGAGCGCATTATTTTTACTGCCGAAATCGTGCAAAACTAGAAAGCGATGAAGGCTGATGACAGATCCAGAAAGAAAAGAAGACCACAAAACAAAACAGAACTCCATTTTTGACAGGATAGCAAAAGTGATGCATCACAGATTTCTTATTACTCAGGACTGGAATCCTGTAACCTCCGATCGAGTGCGCTCAGCACGGGTATCATTACTAAACAACCAGTCACACCTTCAACTATTGTGCTCTGTCGTTCAACCTACAACAGGAAACCGCAGCCAACCATTGACTGCTTAGAACAAGACCACGGACTCCATCCCTGGAGATCAATTCCATTCAGGAAAACAGACAGCCTGCGTGGAAACAGAACATATTTTACCAATACCGCAATCCTCCACACACCTCATGTCTCCATGTTGTTGTAGTCAACAACCTGAACTGACCAAGCCGACAATCAAGACACGTCACGGTAGCTGACAGAAACCGTTGCTGTTTCCATGGACACAGCATGCATCCATGGAATCTCGAACTGCATCAAACCGTTGCTGCTTTTTCAATTGAAGCGGAAACCACCACAGAAAACAACGAGAAATAGACATCCCTTGTGTGTGCACATACACTACCTGCCTCCATAGACACGGGGAACAACTCCAACTGTAAGCAAAACCGACTGCCTCAGGATGCCTTTAATGACATCTAAAACCTGAAAACAACTCAAACGACTTATTGTAAAACATTACAGCGGACTTTTAAAACCAGAAGACAACTCACACAGCGTGCTAGACTACTTATTTTCTCAAACGTGCATTGCAGCCCATCGACTTATATAAGCCCTTTCTGCAGCTGACACACGCCCTTCCATATGTTCTAAGCACCCTTTCATACGAAACATCGAATCGCACCATCTGCAAGCATAAATAAAAACGCTCCAGAGGTAGAAGGCCAATTTAACAGACAGGCACTCAAGAGCCTTTTGATTGTGCAGTGGTTATCCTCTGATAATGTAGTACTAATAAGCGCTCTCTCTCTCTCTCTCTCTCTCTCTCTCTCTCTCTCTCTCTCTGCTCATGAGAAATCGCAGCTCTCAGGCAAAGTGCATCCAGACCGCTGAATAATGACATTCGCCGCAAAATTCCCTGCCCGAACTGCTTCCGAAATCTCTTTCCCTTGCACTAACTGAGACAGGAAGCCGCCAACAAATGAATCACCTGGTATGAAGCGCATCAGCCAAATCAACATAGAACGAGAAACCTCAGTAAGTATCTCAGGCATGCTAATCTATATTTATGCAGTCCAGACGGCGCAGAGGTCAGTACCTCCACACAGTTATCTTTCCTTCTGTTTTTCAGTACAGGTTACGCCCTCAATTGCAAAAGCCATAGGAGTCGGACCACAAGAGAGCAGGAACGGATGCTCACGAGAAGAGTTCTGTTTCCTTGTGTTTTTCAGTAAAGGGCTGTACTCGCATGTCATTGGGAATTATCGATAGCGAACACACGGGAGAGGAAACTGTTAACCCATCACAAGACGACGTGACAAAGGAGACCTCAACCCATCAGAGTTCACCTCCGTCATAAACTGCTATACTCACTGATCGTACGAGGAAAATACCATTTGGCAGTGGGCATCATGCCCAAGCTTGTGATGACGGATGAGAGCGCGAAAACGGCTTTCCCACACGCTCAAGCCATTACAGAATTCACCTCCGTCATACACAGTGCTATACTCACTGAACAAACGAGGACATTCCAAATTTGGCAGCGGACATCATGCCCAAGCTTGTGCTGATGGACGAGAGGGCAAAAACAGCTGTGCCAGAGGCATTTTGGCAGAACACAGAACCGACAAACACTAACCATCATTGCGAAAACTCTCCTTGCTTTGAAACCACAGAAACCCTGGGCAAGCAACTTACCAGCACCATTTGTGTCAACAAGATTCTCCTTCGCGATCTTAATGACAGGGTACAACGTGACCTGCAAAACACAAGCATTATAAAATTGTAAGAAAACGTCCTCAGAAACTAAACGAAATTAACAGTGCAAAGTGGACAGCCTGGTCAAAACGAAAAGAGAACAAAATGCGTCTGCCACAGAAAAGTTGTAAGAAGCATCCGCTGCCGCAACAATGGTAGCAGGCTGTCCCCTGGCCAACACAACACGTCCAGAAGAAACCAAAACCGAATCGCTAACCAGCACGCAAGTGGATGGGCTTGAAGGCAGCTGGCCAGCCATCAATCTAGCGCGGCTTCTGCAAAGCCTGGATCCATGATGAAAGCTGACCTGCCGTCATTGCAAAATACAGGCCGTCGGGTTGAGTGTTACACACAGCCCCCCCCCCTCTCCCCCAAATCTCGACGACGTTACTGGATCTTTCAACAACCAAAATAAGAGCGAGAGAGATAACAGACTGTCCAAGGGCGTGTTAGCTCACACGAAACAGTCACGAAGGGACAAAATACTACCTCTCCCCTCCCGCCCGACTCCACACGGAGGCCCGCTTTCCTGTACACCGCACACAAGGGCCTACCTAGCACCATGACTATATTTCGGGACATCGGCATGCACTCCGCCATCCAAAATGACTATAGAGAACTACTGACCCTCCAAATTCCTCGTTTTTCCTGTACACCGCACGCAAGGGCCTACCGAGCACCATAACTATGTTCGGGACATCGGCATGCGCTCCACCATCCAAAATGACTATAGACTACTGACCCTCCAAATTCCTTTTGAGGCAGTACCTCCGCGCACGGCCGACCCTGATGGCCCCTACGCAGGAGGCTAGGGTGGAAGACCCTGCCGGCCTCTACTGATTGCACGGTGATCCTCCAAATTCCTCGTTTTTCCTGTACACCGCACGCAAGGGCCTACCGAGCACCATAACTATGTTCGGTACATCGGCATGCGCTCCACCATCCAAAATGACTATAGACAACTGACCCTCCACATTCCTTTTGAGGCAGTACCTCCGCACACGGCCGACCCTACGAGATGGCCCCTACGCAGGAGGGTAGGGTGGAAGACACTGCCGGCCTCTACTGATTGCACGGTATGCCACGAGAGAGAGAGAGAGAGAGAGAGAGAGAGAGAGAGAGAGAGAATTGTGTGTGAGATTGCACAGACGAGAGAGAGAGAGAGAATCGTGTGTGAGATTGCACGGACGAGAGAGACAGTTTCTTTTTTTCGGTACGTGTCACCGGCTGAAACAAAAACACACGGAAGACTTTATCACACCTCTGCAGAAATTGAGCACAGAATGTGCACAATGAAAGACCAGATAACATAAAAGACTTCAAATACAACCATCACATTTCTTCACGCCAACAGCATCGAGGCATCAGCGCTCACCATCCATATTGGTAAGAATATAATGACATACCTGACCATCCTTAGCAATAACTGTTGCGTCTGCTCCTTGAGTAATCACCACAGTGCGACCATACGTCCCACTTGCCTTGGGCATTGCAGAGATTTTCAGTGCGATTTCAGAAACGTCTTCCGTCTGGACGATTTCGCACATCCAATGGGCAAAGCAGTGGAAAAACGGTCAGCATCACCTCGTATTCATCAACTTAGCATCACACTCACGCCAAGAACAGTGTGAAGAACGAGACATTGCCCCTTCCCTTTCATGTTGGTCTCAAAACCCTTTTATGTTGGTCTCAGAACCTATTCCGCATCACATTGCACCTCATCAGAAAGAAATCACCGACTACGTGTCAGCTTGGCGAGAATTGTTATCAAAAGACCGTGAGAGGAAAATCAGCACATAGTCAGAAAGGAGAAGCTTCCAAATCAAAGAAGCTCAAAACAGCGCAACATAAGGTCACAACATAAACAATTTGCCTCAAAACCAGCCACCACAATGTTGAGGCAACACCAATGCCTCGGCATGGATTCTAACAAGCATGTAATGGGACTTCATTTTGCATCTGTGGATGGCTTACCTCCCACTTTTGGACCTTGGCGAACGTCTTTGCCTCCGTCTCATTTCCAAACACAATATCCGCATAACTGCAAGCAAGCCATTTTCCCAACATCGTTCACGACATCAAATTGTCAGCTAAATTCGTCGACCCATCCATCCACCTCACAGGGGAAGGGGTGATAGTAGTAGGTGGAGAATGTGAAGCAGATAATGCGCTTGTCTGTGAAAAAGGCACAGCAGTTATCTTCCTGACTGCACCTAAACAACGAACGAGAAAAGTTATCATAAACAAACTACGAGGTGAGTTAATGGAGGCCTAAATCTTCAGACAGTTTGTCACACCATTCTTTTCTGACAAACCCCAAAGGCCATTTCAACCACCACCATATCAACAGAATGCACAAAAAAACACAAAAAAACAAAAAAATACCCTATAGAACTGCAAGGAAAAAATGCACGTTATTTCAGCAACATTCCCATTTCAAAAATAATTCAGAAATGACAGAGGAATTTCCCATCCTCCAAAAGACACGAATTTGGCACGACTAAAGTCTTCACCCGAATAAAACGGCCGGTCTTTGTAGCTGTACTTGGTGCAACTTTCAGCCTGGATACTATAATTACCGGGCGTTCTATTCAGGTGAAGACGGTAGTCCGCGATGTACTTGTCATCTAGGTTAGACGATTTCAACAAAAGAATAACGAAAGGCAGTGGTATAAAAAATCAGAAAAAGAAAGGGAAAAGATCAGACTGCAGGACCTACGAGTGACGACATGCGCGGCCTAGCTCATTTGGTACACCCGTGAACCGTTAAACATATCTTTCTTTTTCTTTAAATTAAGCGCCACGGTCCTGAAAAGAAAAGGATAGCTTCAAACATTATACAGGGCCCATGAGAGGTGCATATCACTATAGGGGGTCTAGCTGAGTTGGTACACCCATGAACTGTTAAATGCAGACCGGAGTTCAAACCCGGATGCACGAGATCGAATAATTCCTGAATTACCTGGGGACGGTCGATGGTGACATTTCAAGGCGGTCGCCCTTTTTCAACCGAGAAAAATGAGAAATGTGCATGTGAAAAGGGTTTCCAGTACTCTTGAGACGAATTCAACAAAAGAATCAGGAAGAGCAAGGTATCCAAAGGCAGATCAGAGGAAGAGGAAAACCAAACGTTAATGTACTCACCGTAGAGCTTCCAGCAGAGGGGTGGTGAAAAACTCGCTGATGAATGGCGCAGCCAAGTTCATCGTAAAAACCTGCATCCACCCAGATTCCACACCGACAAGTTCGCATCTCAATACATACCACACGTACACATCCTCAACACCCACCATACCCTCCATGCCCGCAACAGCCAACCCCCGAGGGCAGCAAGCATTCTGAGGGGCATCCAGAAATCTTCGCCTCGGCATTCAAGTTCCTTCCTGTTTGACTCTGCCCAGAGCTAACGGCGGAGCTGGTTGTCGTGTTCGTGGAGAGGTGAAATTCGTTTCTGGTTCTTGCCTGTTGTAATCTTCTTCCCGGTTCTGACTTTGGTGCTGGACTAGGAAATTGAGATGAAAAGGAATCGAGGGGCTTCGAGGTAGCAGCTTGGAAAGAGGAGAAACTAATCAAAAACTCGAATGCTTCGAATTCATAGAAGAAATAATTGACGCTCGTTCTTCGATGTCCACACGCGGCATTCATAGAACTGAATAATGGATGATGACGCTAATACTGGGCACTGTCCGCAGTATTATCAATCACGTAGAGTCGATAACGGACTACCAACCGTGCCACTAAAAAAAGAACACTCCTTTCCCACAGCCCGCATAATCGGAAGTTCCTGTTTGACTCTCCAGAGTATCCCCCCGGTCACCCGGCAGTCAGCAACTTAACCGACGACCTCGGCCACGGCCGAAATTTTCCGACTGTGTTTCGAGAATTATTAGCCAAGAAATACAAATAAAAATATGGGGTTGTAGGTTTCGGAAATTTTCGGAATGCCCCCTCGACTTCCACTTATTTGCGGTATGCCCCTCCGACGACCACATACCCTGTCGTGCCCCTGGGGCCTCTGAAGTGTCCTGCGGCCCCCTGTTAGTGAGCGGTACAGCTTTCCAGCATGCCCCTGTGGCCATTGGTGGCACGGCAGTCGTTCTCCTGGCCCTGGAATTGGGAACCGGTACCGATTGGGGCATATTGAACATATTTCAGGCCCAGACGACGCCAGGGGTTTTCGGAAACTTCAATTGTTGTCAGAGGGGCACGACATGGTCAGTCGGCCGTCAGGGCATACGGCAAATAAACGAAGGTAGCATTTCGAAAATCTTCCCTTCTGTTTAAAAAAAAGAAAAACATAAATCCCCGAGGCAAAAGTTCTTCAATTATTTTTTTAGTAAGAAAACAAAGCAATTGGGAAAATTTGTCTGGCGCCCCTGTAATTTCCATTATTTGGCGTCTCTCCCCTCCCACGGCCGATTTACCCTGTCACGCCCCTCTGACCGCGATACAAATTTTCCATAAAAACCCGGTGTCGGTTGGGCCTTAAATATTTTGTTATGCCCCTACCGATAACAGTTCCAATTTGCAGTATGCCCCTACCAGATAGCTGTTGAGTACCAGCACAAAAAAATCACATATGCCTCTACCAGGGTGCATCTCTTCAGCGCACCTCTATGGCTACGCGCATGGCAGCCACTTCATTTCTCTCTCTCTCTCTCTCCCTCTCTCACACACACACCGTCATCTTTTGTGGCAGCGCCACTTTTGTGGCAGCGCCACAAAAGCGACGTCGTTCAAATCCGAATTTCCGGTGCAAGGACATGACGGACAGATGCATGCCCCTCACGAGGGCGTATCGCGCAGGGACCGGTGAAATGGGACTGGGCGTCCAGTAAGGGCACCCGGGAAAGGTGCACCCTTCCTGACAGGGGCATGCAGGAAAGTTCAGAGGCCCCAGGGGCGCGACATGGTAAATCGGCCGTGGGAGGGGCGCGACGCAGAATAACGGAAATTACAGGGGCGTCTAACATTTTCCAAATTAAGGAGCTTTGACGTGACTGGGAATCCCCCGGTCGTGACCGGGCGTTGCCTTTGCCTTCGCCGAAGTCAGTGCTTAGGAGGCGCACCAAAAAAAACGCGAGCGTGTTACATACATCAATCACTTCATGCAATAATAAAGAGCCTACTCGTCCAGAAAAGTAACATCGGCGACGGAGCGACCTACCTTCATCCCCCGACTTCAACGAACCGTCATTATCGCTGTATCTGGAGTATCTTTCAGTCTAAAATACAGCTGCAATGACCTTACGTTCTATTCGGCTGAAGAAGATAGTCCCTAGATAAAACCCCGCAGGGATTGTCTACAGTAGAGCCTTGCAAGACCGGTTTTCTATTTTTGGTACCTCATTTCAAACAGGAAGAATGATCACCTTACGATGCTCGGCCGCGTGCTTCGCGACGATCATGATGGACTCCGGAGATACAGTCAGGAAGAACCCGGAGATGTAATAGAACTTCGCCTTCTCGACTGTTCGGATTGACATCCACCAAAAACATCACAAGACATCCGCCAAAAACATCACAACACGTTGAATGCACCTTTAACAAAGCCCAATCCGGTTATAAGAATTAAAAAAAAAAACGCTGAATGCACAACACGTCGCAAACCCTGCAAACCCTCAATCCTCTTTCACGCAACCCTCTGCCAAAGCTTTACCCAGTGCGGATTAACTATTAACAAAATAGATAGCTAAGAAACCATTCAGGAAGCTAATATCCGTGGAGCTATAGGAAACTCACTGTTGATCGCATGTCAGCATGTTAGCGCAAGGCACAGACATAGGGTCTAGTCCCACTACAAAACACTATACGTATCTGCAGCGCATACTCGCTTCGCGATAGATTCGGAAGGTCGGACTGAAAAAAACAAGAGCAACTCCGGCGAATAATACATCTGATCCAAGAGTCCAATGCATGAAGAGGGGCATGTACTAAACTGCAAAAACACGTAACATTACCATAAAATCGGCTGTGATCGAGAGCTCGACCGTTAAGGCCCTCATACCACATATCGCCATAGCTTCCATTCCCCTGGAAGGTCAGAATGCGAAAATGGCGAGCGCATCTTGCAGAAGAACGTGGCAAGTTGCATTCGCCATCCGCAACAATTTGTGTTATAATGGAACTAGATCGTAACACGAATGGCAAATATTCAAGTGTTCAAAGATTCGAAGCTCACACTTTGCCACAGAAACCCATCAACCATCCTCCCTTAAATCATCAAACGCTACGAAAAGAAAAACTGCCTGGCAAACGTTCCTGGAATTCCAGTTGCCTTCCGGAGTATACAAAAGCAGCATCTACCATTAACACAGAAATATTGCCGCGTACAGAAATGTGTGCCTCTTGATATCACAACCTCTGAATCATCCAATCTCTAGAATAGACTTCAACAGATACCTCATCGAATTACCACAAACAGTGACCGAATTACCAACAGGAGTGAACGAGTTACCACAGAGAGTGAACAAGTTACCACTGAGCTGACAACCTGACATACAGAAATGTGTGACTCTTGATATCACAACATCTGAATCATTTCTAAGTCCTTTTCACTAGTATCCTCATCCATGCAAGGAAGCAATCCAATCTCTAGAACAGACTTCAACAGATACCTCATCGAATTACCAACAGGAGTGAACGAATTACCACAGAGAGTGAACAAGTTACCACTGAGCTGACAACCTGACAGAAAACAGAGAGTGAACGAGTTACCACAGAGTTACCTACCACAAGAGTTACCACAGAGAGTCACAGCTGAGTTAACAACCAGATATAGTTAACAGGTTGGACACCAAAAACCTAGGCCAGGCACCGTTCCCATGTAACACCGCACGCATCAGAACTACATCCTTCTCACTACCAACATGAGTGATCTGGAAGCAGTACAAACGTAACGACTACATCTGCCAGTTATATTCAGTGTTTCCAAGATCAGAACACCCCACTTCCCACCACATCCTGTCACCCCTCTGAACAATCACGTGCCTCTCATTGACACCCCTCTAAACAATCACGTGCCTCTCACTGACCTCATCCCACACGGCATACTGTGGCCTGGAATTATCATCGTTGGACAGCGCACCCCCGGCCTAATTATCTCTGACAGTGCACGGTCCCAGCGCAATTCAGCCTTTGAAACAGCATTCCCCACCCAATTATCGAACGTCAAGAAAAGGCAAGAGAAGATACTGTACCCAGTTCAAAATTCTCGGGCTTCAAGAGATGCTCTGTCTTGTAATGGTTGGCTGCTGAGAGGTTAGCGACCAAAGACCTGCATCACGACCCCAGAGACTTAATTATCAGCCTCCCAATTGACGAAGCAACGTGGAGAACAGCTCAGCAAAACCAAAACGCTCAGCAAGGAAAAGAAGTCAAGCCGCAAAGAATGGCACGACCAAGGTAACATCCGATTTGTGATATTTCCACGAACCCACCAAGAAATAACCTCCGAAACCTTCAAGCACTAAAAAAGAAAAAGAAAACCACAAGATGATATGAAAGTAGACGCCACACAATAATAGAACAGAATCAAATGCCGATGCAGGGAACTTTGCAGTCAGTGAAGAGAGATGGAACATATCGCAGTCAGGGAAGAGAAATAAAACATACTTCACAGGAAACCAGCATAGGAACAGCGAGTACCAGCAACCCTACACCATGAAAAACCTGATGACAACATGCTTGCGTCAATTCTAATCACATATACCACAAACAAAAGATTCTTCATTCAGTGGATGTCATTTACGCACCTCTCTCCTCCCTTGATCACACAGGCACAGGTGCCTGTCTGGACTGTGTCATCCTCCCGGTAATGAGCCTACAACACAAGATACCAACAACAATTCTCAATATATTTCTACCACTAACCAGTTGGCGTCATCAAGCTCTGCCGATTAGCCTATCCCGAATTTATGAACAATACCTTCCGAATGGATATTGGGTAACTTCCAAACGACTGACCCCGCGACCAACTCTCGCTCAACATCTGATTGGCCCACCAGCTCTCGCTCAACGACAATTGATTTCCCCGCAACAAACTTATCACTCGTCAACTCAAAAAATAAGCCAGCCGTACACGACCGCCTTCAGGAATTACATTGTTATACTAATGTATTCTCCACAAACGAGAGATTCATGAAACGTGCCATACGTCGTACGTACACAATTATTATGGGGGTCGTTCGACCGCACAACATTATTGTAGGAATTCTTTCAGAAGAAATTGCTTGTAGAAAATTTATGAGCTCAATCCGAAAATCCCTAAGTGTTGAGTATGCTCTTACGTTCTTGCGAACGCCTCTACTACGTAATAATGCGTTACATCAACTGAACAAATACATATATGAGACCCGATGTATCCGGACAGAGAGGCGGTCCCTATACATTCAAACTGTTAGACCAGGACGAATGTATCTGATCCACGGCGTAGTCGAGTCACAGGTCGGATCTTTCGAGTACCGGAGCCAGGACCTGTATAAGTGTTACTCGTCCACTCTGCGCTGATGAGGTTTCAGAGCATCGCGTCGATGCGCAAGGGACTAACGGGTCAGTCCAACCTCCTCGAGCAACTAACGACTTCCCCCAAAACCCTCATTTTGGCTGCATGGGAAGCTCGATTGCATACATTCATCATTCAGGTGCATTGTATCCGGGGGCAGACGGTAGTCTCCCGTCCTCCAGAAGCCACAACCCCGAGAAACGTGAAATAACCATGATTTGGGAAAAAGGGAGGTTCGACAAAACAGGCTCGGGCATGTCACTGGTTAATATGACAGTCCGTCTTCGACCCACTGAAACTCTTTGTTTTTTTTGTTTCCAAAAAATCGAGAATACAAAGAACCTTACAATGCGACGATTCGCATGACGTCCATGACAATTCAATATCCTTCGTGCTCAAAAGAATGGGAAAAATGGCAAGGAGCTCAACTTCATCACCTCTCTCTCTCTCTCTCTCTCTCTCTCTCTCTCTCTCTCTCTCTCTCTCTCTCTCTCTCTCTCTCTCTCTCTCTNCCTCTCTCTCTACCTATCTCTCTCTCTCTCTCTATCTGTGCGTGTGTCTGTGTGTGTGACTATGCGCGTGCATGTGTTTCATGTGCACGTGTCTGTGTTCTTGCCTCAATTGACATACACATACTAATTATCGGCCGTCCACTTGAATCCGATCAGGTTAACACGGTCATGCTTAACCTCATTAGAATAGAATAGAACATACGGACAAAAAACAAAAAACGCCAAGCAAAAGATCGCAGGACGAGTACCCACATTGACTCCTGCAGCAGCTGCGATATCCTTCATCCTTTGCCCGTATTCATCTTTGCCAATGCAGCCCATGTATCCAGTCGCGTTGGGAACTCGAAGCATCCACTGCAAGAGGGATGACAAAGACACATCAGCCCACGGCACTCTCTTCCTGGTTCCCGACATCAAACCAACAAGTTATCATCATAAATAACGCATGTCAAACTTCCGGGATAAGTATCTAGAAAAACCTGGGAGAGTGAAACAGAGCAAAGCAGTCCATTGTGCCATAGACCTAAACCTTCAGACAAACATACACCAACCCAACAATCTTGTGGCTTGATTAGATATTGTAGTTCAAACAAAAAAAACGCCACCAAATACGGATGAGATCGCAGTTATTTACAATTTGACAGAAATGCTATTGTTTCAATCAATAATGGTTCACCTGTTGGCACCAGACTTCACGGTTGTGTGACACACTAAGTACGAAAAATACTCATCGTCCTCAAGTACACGACGAAACTCCTAAAGCTGCCAGCTTTTACCCAGCGTTAGGTAATCCGAGCACTGGAAACAAGTCAAAAGCAAACAATGCAATTGCATAGCATCATCTTCGGAGGACGACGGAAACATTTACTTAAAAGTGACCTATATTCTCGACATCTAGCCATCAAAGTTTGACGACACAACACCGCCCACATCCCACACTCATTATTCTTCACCAACGCTGCCATCACACGCAGCTAGTAAGACTCACAAAGATTATTCTTGACACAAATAGCCACAAATCGTCACATGGCTTACAGAAAAACAGAGCCGAGCAAATATAGCGCCGTCGACTTAAATGCTGTTTCTTTTTTTGCTTGACTTTTTTTTCTCTTCATAGTTTTCTCACATTTATTACTTCTCTGGACAGCTCGAGGCTTCCCAGTTATTCGTCATCTTACTAGTCAGGGCTCAAGGCTCCTCATTTACACGTCTTCGGAACACTAGGGAACTCGTCAATGCATGTGAACGAACCTGAGCGACACGAATTGTGTTCTGGGTCGCACCTTCTCAGAATACCCCAACGAACGGATTTAGCAGGTAGGACGAAAGAAGTGGAACCGAATACACAGCGGGTCCGGAAAAGGAAAACGACAAGCAAACCAATATCAGTATCAGTGTTGACTACAAAAACACTTTCCCAAGGCATAAAAAGCATCGAAAGACCAAATAAAAGCAAACCGACAACCACACATAAAGCCATGAGCGTTTTCGACACGCAAAAATCGAAAAAATCAACGAGACATCCATCATCCTCTTCCGGACCTAATTACCGTGAGCTGCAAAACTATCTTCACCCACAAAGGAAGACAATAGCGCTGCTTCCTCTCAAGCAAATCAACTATGCGAGGAATTAACAACAACATCCGCAGTTCTCCTATTGAACATCCGGTGGCATTCAAATACACCACCACAAAAAACAGAGTATTGCATGAGAACAACAGATTTTCTGTGCCACGTACCTCCAGCAATGTACTCCACATCGTAATTGTCGACCAGCTCCTTGTACCTGCGTCCCCATAACCATTTCATGCCATAATCAGTCCCAGCAATCACTTGCATTGAGGGGGAAAAAACAACAAGTGAGAATACACAGGAAGAAACATCCCTCCTCCATCCTCCCCTTCCACTCTTTCCGAATGAACAAAGGGACGGACTTCGAAAGAACTATTTCCCGTCCATTCTGCCTGCCTTCCTGTCTTCGGCAATAACGTTAGTACGACATTATTAAACTCCGTACTCGGACAATTCCCGACGAACGAAAAAAACACGAAGTGTTCAGAGCGGTGATACAATCCCCGCAGTAGACTGCCGTCATCCCCCCCTTGAAACGCAGTCACTTAAGCTGAACTTCGGACAACTTCAATCTAGATACAGCGATAATGACTGTACGTTGTACTCGGGGGGCAAAATAGCATGCACTCAGTCATTCGCGAACAAGAGCGCTACATTTCATTCATGCTCAATCCTACAAGCTATCCTGAGTGGTGGCGATTCATTGATTGATTACTTGAAAGACTCATCTAGCCCGGATACTGATTGACCGGTACCGCAAGTGATGAACAACCACGAGTTTGCTCTTTCATAATGTCGCCTAACTACGCTGAAGACATGTACGTCACAAAACAAAAGAACGAAAAAACAGTCATTCGTTTCAGCTTGGACAAAATACCCTTCGACATTAAGACCTATATGGCACGAAACTAGCATTCGGTATCAACGGTAGGCGAATGCGACAGGACAGTGAGCCTTGTACCTTTCAAGGCACCGACTGCCAATCTCCACAGAGAGGATGAGAGAGCAGAGGGCAGGAAGGGATACAAGGGAAAAAGAGACACTGCGAGAGGAGAGAGACCAGGAGACAGAGAGAAGGAAAACGAGCGCCAAAATGACGAAGGGAGAGAAAGGGAGGGAAGAAAGATCAAGAGGGACAGACGAAGAAGGCCGTATAGGGAAAGAAGAGGCAGTTGAGACCGAGAAGAGGGTGGGGAGATCGAGAGGCCCGATTCCCGATAACTCACGAAAGGGTACAGAAAGACGGAACCGTAGCATCGAAAGGAACAGATAGGTAATACTCACAACGGCATATGCTTCTCCTCCGCCAGAATCGCATTGTTCAACTTCAAGTCATACCTACACCGACGTCAGCAAAAACAGGATCCCAACACAAATTGCAATAAGCCAACCTCCGATAGAATGGTTTGAAGTTTTTTCACAACAACAAGGGGGAAAGGGACGGGATTTACGGATAGAAGAAAGCCACTACTGGATTTGCGAAGTGATTCAAGAACGATGTGGAAGACACAGGAACGCCAGCATCCAAGCAGCAGGGCCTCGTGCAGCGGTCGCACTGTTTCCTTCTCCCCGCTGCTCGGATTGGTGAGGACAGACAATCGGGTAGGAGAGGAAACCTAGAAAGATGGCGAAGCGGAAAGAACAGAGAAGACCTGCTAACGGGGAAAGGTCAGAGGTGTCCTACTTGTCGAGTAAGCTTTGGTCGGCGATCGTCGCCGAGATGTCCAGCAGAGGGTTGCCCATACCAAGCAGGACGCCTTCCATCGCTGCTGACTGTTGATAACCTAACTGCGTTATCCAAACACGGACCCCGGCCTTCACGACTGACAGCACGTCGCTGCACCTGGGGTGAGCGGCCCGGCAACGCTCTCCAACTATGAACAACGTCTTGAGTAAACAACGAAGCCCGAGCCAGCATTTATATACTACCGCAACCTTTGGGAACTCGCTGCATGCCTCCGCAAATGGCCCCCATTCGTCCGCCGGCCGCGCTCAAGCACATCAATGGCGTTTGCGAGGCTCTTCCCGGATTGATCGACAACCGGGAGATCCCTGACTAGACGCCAGTTATTTCCCGCCTCATTCCGATCGTGAGGCAGACAGCCACTCAGGCGATCGCCACGTGGACTGGCCTTCGCTTCCAGGGCGTTTTTAGCGGATCTCGCTCTCGGATTTACGGATCCCAAGGCCTCGACAACCGCTCGTCGGACACTTGCTTGTACACAGTGAGCTCCCGGTCAAAATCGGACTAGGAAAAAGAAACAAAATCGGAAGAAGTAGACAGCGATGGCGGGCCCATATGGTGCTGTCTTTGGACCTCTCTTGCCGGGGTTTAGACTTGGTTCCGACCGGGGGCTAAGTCCCACTAGCTGGGGTTTAGACTTGGTTCCGAGCAGGCACGGGTTCCTGCCATCCGATCTGAACATCTCACGGCCGCACTGCGCCCGCCTTGAGAAGTACTCGAAGACACCCCCAATATTGGACTTAGTCCCGGCGCCAAGTCCCAGTAGTGGGTCTTTAGTTTAGAATCCTGTACAGTGTGATACCATTGCAGTTCGAGAAGTGCAGACATAGAGGGCTTGGAAGAATTTTGTAACAAAAAGAAAACATCCGAAGGCCAAATGTACAAGCCTAAATTCGAATTTTGAATACCCCAGTACATTTGAGGCCAAATGTATTGTGTACCGCGGAAGTGAAGCCCGGAGAGAGCGAGGACCATATTGTGTGTTTGTCCCCATCGATGTCCAAGCTCTCAGACGGCACTGCAAAAAAAAAAACGGCCAACCCTGCGCCCCTCCCAGACCCCCCCTTTTTTTTCTTCTTCCTTGTTCGAACTTCCCAAATGAGAAATGTCGGGCGCCAACCACAAACATCGCCGCACGACCTCTGCCGGCTACCACCGGTAGTCCGAACTTCGACATCTGGCGTGATCGATTGGTTGGTCTTATGACAATGATCGCACCCTTATGCTCCACATTCCAACCCCCTTTACGTCGCTTTAAGCCCCTAAACACGTCGTTGGCATTTCCCAATCAGGAAATTCGTTGCTCGCCAAAAACGCAACTGGGTATAGTGCAGCCTCCTATCTACGAATCAGCCTAAATTTGAATTTTTTCGAGCCTGGAAGAAACAGGCACCGACACCGGGAATTTTCAGCGTGGCACTCGTATCGCCCTTTGTGCTAGACCTACTGCCAACACATGGAACAAGGAGGCCCTCGTTTTCTAGTTTTCGCACATGTGCCACCCATCCATGGCTGTAATCGCGGGCAAGTACATTCAAAAAAGTGCTAGCGTGAGAATGCTTTGAAATGAAATGGCCTAACACGAAATTGATTGTTCCTCGCATTACAAGAAACCAAATCAGAAAGAGTCGAGATTCTTCGTTCCTGAAAACAAAAGAAAAAATATATTAAACCACAAAAAAAAACCTCATCCCTGTGAGTTAGGGTCGGGTTCTACGAAGGGGCGGCGACCGTTCGGCACCAACAGTTCCAATCCCACCATTTGAAAACCTCAACTTTGACGATTTTTCATGCTCATAAAATTCTTGAAAATTATTAAAATTTGAGGGTCCGTGAAATGTCAGGATAAATCGGGATTAAAAAAACGATTTAAGGAATAATATCAGGATTAAAAAAAAAAAAATTGGCGGTAAAATAATCATCATGCCGATTCGACATATTTTTAATTTTTAATGCAAGTTTATTTTTTCCATTCACTCAGCTTTTCACTCCATGCTACCACCACCCCTCGTGAAATGGCGTTACTGGTCCCCCGAGGTTTTGGACGTCGGGGGGAGTGGTGGTTTAAGCTCTGAATATGATTGTCTTACATATTTAGTATGAACATGTTGTAAAATATAACGACCTAACATAAACTCAACTGCTTCCTGCCTCTCAAGGGAGACACATAAAAAATAATTGAGATTTTTCTTTCCTATTATAAAATAATAAAAAGGATAAAATAAATGATGTACTAAACTCCGAAAGTGATTGTCTTACATATTTATGCCACAAATTGTCAAAATACCAATAAGATACATTCTAAAAAGTGTTAGCGTGAAAATGTCATGAAATGGAAAGTTTGTTGTGGAGTCGATTGCTACATTTCTCTCACGAGCATCGCATAAAAAATAATTGATTTTTTTTTTTTTAACGGGTATCATTGCCCTAAATATAACGTAATTTTTTTCTGCCTAAATGTTCAACATCCCAGTTTTTGGTATAGAAAACATAAAACTTGTTGATTTTTTTTTGTAATGTTGGTTTAAATTTGGACACAGGAGAAAAATTATATTATTTGTTGACGTGGATTTTGACCACAAAACCAACGTTGAACAGCATGAACAATAAAATTTAAACGTTAATTCAATATCGGTTCAACGTGGTTATACTTTGGTTCAACATTTGTTTAACATTTCTTCAACATTGGTTCAACATCGGTTCATCATATGCCTAACGCTCATAGTTTCTTACTATCATTAAAATGCTTTCATACTTTATCAATCATCTTTCAATTTGTACTACCCTGTTTACAAATATGAGGTTAGTCAAGATTTAAAGTTCATCGCAGCGACAGTTTCATGTATTCTCAATCGTACTCTTTATCTCTCTCCCAATTTGTGCATATAAGTGACTATTGAAAAATATGTGTCATGCATTGTAAAAAAAGTACACATGGTTGTTAACTGCTCTTAAACCACCACTATCCCTGCTGGCCTAAATTAACTTTTCTCACGGACTGAGTTCTTAGGGGGGGCGGCGACCGCTAGGTGTAGGTGGGTGCGGTCCAAAAATTTTCAAGTGCTAACTTTGGCGATTTTTCACCCTAAAAAAAATCGACTAAATTTTTTTGAAAAATATCCTGTAGATAAGGTTGTGATTTTTTCAGAAAAAATATCAAAAAAATAAAAATTAAAAATTAGATTGTGAAGTAAATATCGTGTCGTTTCGTCATATTTTTCATTTTTGTTACTCTACCACGTATAGGTCAACGGAAAGAGTAACCCAACTTTCACAATTTTTTGCAATCGGAAGGACGACCCAACAAATCTGAAAATTCGACGGTCCAGAGATTTTGTCTTAATCTTTACAAAAAAAAAATATTTTAAAAATAAAATAAAATCATATAAATCTCGAAATAAATCGGGGGGGTGATTCGATGCATTTTTGAATTTTGTCACTCCGCCAGTTCCCCCCACTGTGCTACTAGTAGCCCTCATGGACATGTGCTACCGGTTGCCCCGAATTTATGACAGCGGGGGTAATAGTGGTTTAACTAGCAGCTGATGGGTTTTTTGCTATCGTCATGAGAATGTTATATTTCACTTGTGAGTTCGATTTCATAAATATTTTATAGAATATACAAAGGAGTGTACGTAGAAATGGCTTAGAAATAGGACGCATTATGCCCTTGCATCACATCATCGACCTCATATCCTGACTTTTTTTTGTAACTCCCAATGGAAACCCTAGACCGCCTCATACCACCGATGATTATAGTGGGGGCAACATTCAACCTCTTGATTTAAAAAAACGTGTATATTTATTAGGGTCCGTTATATATATATTGAAGTTGTGTTGTAGGTTGTGAAATATTTAGAGATGAAAGTTGAGTTTTAAAATTGTGTTAGGTAATTCGTTGACATTTGAGCGACATTGCTTAATTTCCGATAACACTTCAGCTTTTATTTGTTAAACAGAGTTCGTTCCCTATACAAAAGATGAGTCTCAAAAAAATCAAATGAAAAAAACGAAAGACTACCACAAAACGCAGATAAAATTAGAGTCTAAGTTTAAAAAAAAACGTTTATAAACGTAATAGGCACTTGAAGAGAATGACATATCATACAATAAATGACTAAAATACTACCACAAAGCGCATATAAGTATTATCGCACAAGTCCAAGAGAAAACGTTCATAAACATAATAAACATAAATAAGGTGTTTTGTGGAAAATGACACAAGTGAATGTCGCAAGGGGGCGAGATCCTACTAGCAAAAAGGATTGGATTAAGCTTCTCAATATGCATCGGTCTTAAACAGTGATGCATAAAACCAGTTTAATCTTCATTTCCTTCATGGTGTTCCATATTATGTATAAATTTGACATTCAATCCAATATTATTAACCAGTGGGATGACTAGCAAATGACTTTTATATAATTAACATTTTACAAGTCACGAAATGTATAAACTGGCCATGAAATATAAATGAAGTATGACTGAGGGAAACATTACAAGTGTTCAGAAATTTGTGTTAGTTTAGATAAAATGCAGTGCAGTCGTAGACTGCTTTCTACTGTTATTCGATTGTATGTTTTGTTTTCTTACAAAGTTTTTGCAAATCATCTTAAAGTCCATACAATCGTGAATTGCTCTCTACTGTTGTTCAACTTTTATTCAATTACATGTCATATAGTTAAATGTTATATGTTATATATATACGTTATGTAATGCTTAAGCAAATGCTTTTCACACCTACATAATTTTTTGGAGGTGGACGATTTATTAAGTATTTATTGTTCCGATGGTTATTGACACACCCTCAAATATAATTGTATTGTTTTTTTTTTTTAATTGCGTTTTTAAATGGATTGTTATCAACGACTGTATGAGTTCTTAAAATAAAGGTTTCTTGAATCGTTTTAAACATCCTTCATGTGTAAATTTTCCTTTGCTGCTTTGTAAACGTAAAAACACCAGAGTTTCATTGTGAATGTGGATCAAAAATGAATCGTGTAATACAATTATGTTATTTTACTATCATATATTTTTTTTTAAATATATTTCATATCAGTTCCTTACATCATAATATCTTATTCACACTTTTTATTTCGCCAGTCCTTATATTAAAGAAGAGATCTTGAAAGGTCTGACAATGGTCAATTGAGTGATGGTGTAAATTTATAATTTTGATATAACCAATCACTCTAATAAAAAATACAATACACAATATGAACGATAAAAACTTTATTGAAAGACATACAAATAGTTTAAAACGAAACTAAACTATAAAATAAATTAAAATTTATATATAAACATTGTGCATACAAATATTTTCCTAAATGTAGCCAAGTGCAGTTACATACTCATAGATGCATCTGCTCTGCCTCCCCACTCACCAAACGCAAAAGATGAAAACAAAAAAGTA